ATTAATTTATTTGAGAGAGAGCGTGTGTGAGCTGGAGGCGGGGGGGGGGGGGCGCAGAGGGAGAGAGAGAAACCCAAGCAGACTCTCCACTGAGCAGGGAGCCTGACCACTCAAGGCTTGATCCCAGGACCCTGAGATCAAGACTTGAGCCAAAATCAAGAGTCAGACACTTAACCCACTGAGCCACCCAGGCGGTCCCTGTTTGCCAAAATTATTTTCATGAAATGGGTCATGCTTCTATTTCATTCCTAGGGCCCCCGTGATCTAGTAATCACCACCAAAGATCACTGTTGTGGCAGCTTGGGCTGGGCCATCCTGCTTGTGTCAGCTGGACTCTCACGTGTCTGTGGTCAACTGCTGCTGGTGATCTGGTGACAGGGCCTCTAGGAGTGGGCTGGCCATCAGTTGGGGCTACAGGGATGTTTGAGGCATAAGTCTCATCCGCTTTGTTCACACGGGGGCAGCGGGCTTCCAAGACTAGCAAGAGTACAGGCCCCAATGCATAAGCGCCTTCCCTGCTCGCGGCTGCACTATTTTTGCCAATGTCCTATTGACCAAAGCAAGTCATAATACGGCAGATTCAAGAGAAAAGAAACAGACCACCTCTTCATGAGAGCATCTGCAAAGTCCATGCAAAGTTCGGGATTCAGGGAGGGGAAATATTTGTCACTACAAATGTCACTCTACCACGGGCACCAATTCCATCCCCTCCACCCCCCCCGCTTCTAGAGCCCTCTCCCTTCCGCTTCTAGAGCCCTCTCCCTTTCCAAGCACATCACCCAATTTCTTTAGAGAAACACTGTCCATTTTCATCCGGGAGATAACTAGGTGGGGTTTGGGGGGCGATGGTGGAAATGCACTTTATTGAGCCATTTGTCAAACAGATTTTATTTTATCTTTTTAAAGATTTTATCTATTAGAGAGAGAGTGCGTGGCGGGGGGCGGGGAGGAGCAGAGGAAGAAGGACAAGCAGACTCCATGCTCAGTGCGGAGCCCGATGTGGGGCTCGACCTCATGACCCTGGGATCATGGCCTGAGCTGAAACCAACGCTTAACCGACTGAGTCACCCAGGTGCCCCTCAAGTAGATTTTAAATAACCAGCTCCTTTGATGCCATCTTCCCACTTCCACTCTCCATACCTGGAGAGTCGGGGTGCTTCCTCCACAACACCGGCTTTTGCTCCTGCCCCACCCAGGCTTTGCCCGAGATTTGCTGGCCCCAATTGATTTTCAGAAGGAGCCCATCTGCATTCACTCAGTGAATTTCTCAAACTCTTGATCCTTTATCCTCACCCTTTCCACTAATTTTATGAATGAATTTACTCTGCACTTCTAATTGTTTCTATTTGATTTGGAAAGGTAAACACCTGTGTTCTATCCAGTGTCTTCTACTACAAAAGCCTCTGATTAAATTTAAATCTATTATCTCTAGACCAAAATAGCAGTTTAAAAAATGTATTCCTCCCATATGTATTAAGAGTGGGTGATAGCAGATAGAAGAATTAAGGTATATGCACTCTATCATGGGAAAGAAGAGCCAGGAGACTTGTACAATTTCCTAAAGACAATAATTTTGGCCTATTGCTGTTTATAGTCAGTGTATGATGTGAGGGAGGAGGCATTTCCTTTGCTTAATGCGTCACTGTAGGCTATTTTGTCTACTTTGGTTTCTCCCAAGGCCATGGTTGAGATTTTATCATTTTCAGGCTGCTTATGCTGTTCTGCCTGCCTCAGGCAAAAATTGGAATATAAAAAATAAGCAAAAGGGCCAGGACCTGGGCAGCCTGAGGGGCAGGGAGACAGGGGAGGAGAGGAGAAACCTAACTATCTCCTTCCTGGCTGTCACCACTGCCCCTGGGGGCTCCAGGACCCATTAGCCTGTGTCTTCATTGGTACACCCTTTTTACTGGGGAATTGGAAATACTGATTACAATTAAGACAGCAGGGGTGCCTGAGTGGCTCAGTTGGTTAAGCGCCCCACTCTTGATTTCGGCTCAGGTCTTGATCTCAGGGTGGTGAGTTCAAAGCCCCGCGCTGGGCTCCCCACTGGGCATAGAGTTTGTTTTAAAAAAAAATTAAGACTGCAAAACTTTGAGACAGTAACTCCCTTCATACAAACGTGCAAATATATATGCATATATAGTGTCTAACCTTGCTAGTAATCACAATATGCAAATTAAAACAGTGGGCTATCTTTTCAGCTATCAGAATGTCAAGGATTTAAAAGAAGATCAATGCCCGTTATTAGGAAAGTTGAAAGTGTTCATGGATATATTAGTACAAGCTGTGTGGAAGGCAGTTCTAACATGTATCAAAATCCATAAACAGATGAAATCCTTTTTAGTTTAAGATTTTATTTTTAAATAATCTCTACACCCAATGTGGGGCTCAAACTCACAACCCCGAGATCAAGAGTTGCGTGGTCTACCGACGGAGTGAGCCAAGCGTCCCAGATGAAAGCCTTTTGATTCCAGAATTCCACCTCTCAGGATGTATCCCAGGGAAATATCAGAGAAGCCTACAAAGATATGCACGCAAAGATATTAATCTCTACCTTGGGGCGCCTGGGTGGCTCAGTCATTAAGCGTCTGCCTTCGGCTCAGGTCATGATCCCAGGGTCCTGGGATCGAGCCCCGCATCGGGCTCCCTGCTCCGCGGGAAGCCTGCTTCTCCCTCTCCCACTCCCCCTGCTTGTGTTCCCTCTCTCGCTATGTCTCTCTCTGTTGAAAAATAAATAAAATCTTTAAAAAAAACCTCTACATTGTTTATGCTTGTGAAAAATTTGAAACCATCCAAATATCCATTAGTTAATTATTGGCCATTCATAAGGAATAATACACAGCCCATAAGGAATAATACGCAGCCCATAAGGTATCAACATGGAAAGATATGCAAGATATATTATGTTTAAAAGCAGCGGTCAGGGCGCCTGGGTGGCTCAGTCGGTTAAGCGTCTGCCTTTGGCTCAGGTCATGATCCCAGGTCTGGGACTGGGCTGGCCCCATCAGGCTCCCTGCTCAGTGAAGAGTCTGCTTCTCCCTCTCCCTCTGCCTGCAGCTCCCCCTGCTTGTGCGCGCTCTCTCTGTCAAATAAATAAATAAAAATCTTTAATAAAAAAGCGGGGGCGCGCCTGGGTGGCTCAGTCAGTTAAACGTCTGCCTTTGGCTCAGGTCATGATCCCGGGGTCCTGGGATGGAGCCCCAAGTAGAGTCGGGCTCCCTGCTCAGCGGGCAGTCTGCTTCTCCCTCTCACTCTCCCCCTGTGCTCTCTCTCTCTCTCAAATAAATAAATAAAATCTTAAAAAAAAAAAAAGAGCAATTGTCAGGGGCCCCTGGTTGGCTCAGTCGGTTAAGTGGCCAATTCTGGGTTTCAGCTGGGGTCATGATCTCGGGGTCATGGGATCAAGCCCCGTGTGGGGTTCTGCTTGTCTCTCTCCCTCTGCTCCTCCCCCTGCTCACTCACTCACTCTCTCTAAAATAAATAAAATCCAACCAATAATACGTTTTGTGTTAATTAATTGAATTTAAATTTAAAAATGGAAAAAATAAAAATAAAATAAAATCTAAAAAGAAAAGCAATTGTCAAGGCAGTATGTCTATGATTCCATTTTTTGTTTTGTGACTTGTGTGTGATATATGTATATATGCCTTGCTTATAATATATGTAAATAATTGATAAAAACATATACCAATCTGTTAATAGTTTTTCAAAATAATATTGAAATATTAAGAAATTTAGAAAAGTTGCTCAGCTTCACTGATAATTAAAATGAATGCAAACTGAGGGTTCTAGAGGGGAGGGGGAGGGGGATGGGTTATCCTGGTGATGGGTATTGAGGAGGGCACGTTCTGCATGGAGCACTGGGTGTTATGAACAAACAATGAATCATGGAACACTGCACCAAAAACTAATGATGTAATATATGGTGATTAACATAACAATAAAAATTAAAATGAATGCAAATTAGAGGAGTAATGAGCCGTAATTATTGCCTTTCATATTGGTGAAAAAAATTCCAAGATTAACACTCCATGTTGTACACAGCCCTAGTCTCAAAACTTTTTGATCAACCACATGTATTAAAAAGTAAAACTTTTTTGACCTCAAACACTAAATATGTTCATATGATTTTTTTATAAATAAAAATGGGATTATATTCCTCATTCTTTTCTGCCACTTGAAAATTCATGCGTACAGCGATGTTCTCTGCAATAATGTTTGGCATAAGAAAAACTGGAAACATTCAGAATGTTCATCAATAGAGGACTGATTTAAATATATGATTGAACATCAACATACATGTTAGGGTAGTGATCAGTCGTCCAAGAGAGTGAGGTAGTTATATATTATTGACACGGTAAGAGCACTATATGAACATATCAAGTCTGAAAGTATACACAGAAAACAGAATGGTAGTTCGTGGCGGGGGCGGGGTGAAGAATGTGAAACTAAGCAGGGTATCTGCTTCCCATTGTTCTGTTTGTGCTGTTGAAAATGTCTAACAACTTGTCTGTATAACTTTTCCCATTAGAAGAATACTAAAGATGTAAAACCAAATTTCCAAAGCCGCTTGAATCATTAAAGCAGAAGGCACACATTTTACGGTTGAGAAAATGAATAGGTTTTGTGTGTTCGTACTAGCTCACAGTTGAGGACTGGAAAAATTCCTAAAGGGATTTGAGGCAACAGGAAACGGGTTCACACTTCTAAGCTATTCAAGATCATGTTTACGAAGGAACTCTTCCTACGTTTTGTGCAAGTTTCGTTTTGCTTCCGTTAAAATTTAAAACATTAAAAAAGAAGAAGAAGGACCACCAGGAGGAGGAAGCTGGGTCTCCCGGGAAAGCCACGTGCCCCTCCCCCTCCCCTGCCTCCCGCCTCGGGTCCCCGCCCCCCCCGTCCCCCTCCCTTCCCCGTCCAGGGGCTCGCCATCTCCGGCGCCCCGCCCACCACGAGGCAGCTCAGTCTGGCGGCCCCAACGGAGCACCAGCGATCGTAGATCGCCGCGGCCGGGAAGGAGGGCGTTCGCGCGGCAGCGCGGCTGGCATCGGCGGCCGCCCAGTGAGCCCCCGCGCCGATTGCCCTCTGCGCGCATCTCTCGGTCCGTCGATCGGTGGGTTGGCGCGGCCGGCTGGAAGCCTTGACCTCCCGGCACCGTGTGGGAGGCGACATCAGACCGATGGCGGCGGCGGCGGCGGCGGCGGCAGCGGCGGCCCTGTCGGCCCTGGGGGTGCGGCTGTCGCGCTCGGCGGCGGCCCGCGGCTCGTACGGCGCCTTCTGCAAGGGGCTCTCACGCACGCTGATCACCTTCTTCGACCTGGCCTGGCGGCTGCGCACGAACTTCCCCTACTTCTACGTGGTGGCCTCGGTGATTCTCAACGTCCGCCTGCAGGTACATATTTAGAGCAACTAACTTTGTGGCGTTCGGGGATCCCCGAAGGATGGCTGGCTTCCACCCCGCGGCTCCCCCGCTCTAGAGCACAGCGGCCAGTAGACTCGCACGCGCAGACTCGCCGGGCTGCCTTTCCACGGCCTTCTCTTTCCATGTACATGGGCGGCTAGAAATCCTCATTTGCGGAAAGCCTACAGTATAACCAGAAAAGCCGAAGATAGAGTGAAAGGGTGATTCTCTAGGAAATAGATAGTTCAAGGAGCCGGAAAGAACTTTAAACTCCGAAGATCCTCAGAAATACTTGAGACTTTCTTGCAGCCGTAAAACACACAACAGCCCGAACGGGAGGAACCGATGGTGGTCTCAGGATGCCCGAAGGGGGGAAACCAGAGGAGAGGTTACTAACGACCCAGACGTAAACTAACTGCACAACGACGGTCCAACTGGGCAAGGAAATCTTCCAAGTTAGAGTAAGATGCGAACAGACTTCCAACAGAATATGGACTGAATTCCAAGCCATTAGCTGGATTGCGTTGGAAGCTGGGGGAAATTAACAACCGGATCTGGAAGGCATGCATGGCCTCATCCCCAAAGCCAAGTCGGTGGCGAACAGAAACACTACGGCCGCAAAACAAACATTTCAAACTGGACAAGGAAAGCAGGCTTCGAACAGGAAGCTGCCTCAGACCGGGCCGGGTTTGAACAGCTGCCAGGAGTGGGAGAAAGGGATCAGCTCGAACACCGATCGGCACGTGCAGCGCTCGGAGAGACCAGTCATCCCGTGCAGCTCGGCTCTTCGGCGAACCATATTTCAATAATCATTCCGATGGAAAAAGAAGTTACGGTTTTCCGCTCTTAGACCAAATCTGTCAGCTAAGCAGGGAAGACTTCATTCGTGACGGGGCTAGAACCGGATGGGAAGGTTAGCCCCTTGGACAGTGCGCAGTCCGGGCAACAAGTGGGCAGGCAGAGAGGAGGAAATGGAGCGGTGGCATTATTCTCGGGAAGCAGAAAGTCCAGATTCTGTCTCTAGTTGAAAGAATAAGGCAGGTTTAGGGATCGTATTATTAAAGCGAACAAGGTAGCCACCGGGGGATTTAAAAATAGTGATTCAGCCAATAGTGAGGGGGGAGGGGGTTGCTGGGACAGCGGGAAGTCAAAATTCCTTATGTTATCAAGTCAAAAAAGTAGTAATAAAAGCATATTCTTAAGGAAGAAAGGACCTAACCACTATACAGACAGGTGTAAACGTTTTTGCCTCTGGCTTAGTTCCCTAAGTTGAGCAGGATGGGCAGGGATTTACTTACTTTTCATTATATGCCTTTTTTTCACTATTGGATTTTTTGAAAACTATGTGTGTATTGCTTTCATTAAAAAGTAAAACTTACTAAAAACTGAATTGACTGCAATTAGAAGGACATTGGGGGGGGGAGCCGGGGATGGGCAGAGAAGGCCAGGGAGATTGCACCTTCCTTTCTGCAGCAGTGTATGTGTACCCTAAAATGTTCCTGAATGATCCCACGAAATAGGATTTCCTTGCTTTCCATACAAACCTTAGACCCCAAGGAAAAGCTTAAAAATAAAAATGGCCAGTCATCTTAAGGTAGCCCAGAGCTTCCTCACTCTCTGAAACTGCATGAGCAAAAATTTCTGCAGCGATGTAGTTAAGGTTTAAAAAAAAAAAAAGATTATTTCATAAAATACTTGCAATTTTTCAAAACTGTTCTCCAGGTTTATCAAGGCATAAGTGACATATAACCTTGTGTAAATGTAAGCTGCCCAGTGTGTTGGTTTGATATACTTCTACACTACGATGTGATTGCCCCCAGCCTTAGCTGACCTCTTGGTCACGTCACATAATTACTGTTTTTTTTTTTGTGGTGAAAACATTGAAGATTCCTCTCTTAGCAACTTTCAAGTATATGATAGAATATTAACTATGATCACAATGCTGTGTCTTAAATCCCTAAAGTTTATTTGTCTAACTGGGAGTTTGTACTCTTGGACCAGTATCTCCTCACTGCCCGCAGCCCCCTGGTAACAACCATCCTACTGTTTCTGTGGGTTTGGCTTTTTTCCATTCCACGTGTAAGTGAGATCAGACAGAACGTTGATGGACACTTTGACGAGTGCCTCAAGATTAGACGAGGTGCTTACACTTTAGTATCGGTCATAATAGCAAGCCGGTGGAATAAATTAAATGTCCCACATTAGTGTAGGGGCGCAGGGCAGGCCGCCCCAAGATGGCTGCTTTGGCATGACTGTTACTTTGAGTCAAAAGCTGTCAGAACCCAGCAGATGCCAGGAAAGCTCTTTACCTGCCGCTCAACTGCCTGTCTGTACCAGGAAGAGAGCTTGAAACAGACCCCCCTTTTTTTAAAATTTTATTAATTTGAGAGAATGAGAGAGAGTACAAGCCGGGGGAGGGGCAGAGGCAGAGGGAGAAGCAGGCTCCCCACTGAGCAGGGAGCCCCCCCTACTCGGGGCTCCGATCCTAGGACCCTGAGATCATGACCTGAGCGGAAGGCAGACGCTTCACCTTCACCGACTGAGCCACCCAGGTGCCCCAGAGATTCCTCTTTACCTAAAAAATTTATCTGCATACCAAGGCGACCTTTATTTTCCAAACATCTCTCCCCTTCCTGCTCATGGTCTTTCTCCCCTTTTATTTTCAGACCCTACCCCTCTCCTTAGCTCCTATAAGCCTCATGTTGCCTCGCTGTTTCTGCAATCTCCTGTCTGTGTGGATACCCCATAGGTCCGCTATTAAATTTGATTTTCTGTTAATCTATCTCATGTCAGTTTGAGTCTTATTCCAGCAAGAAGGACCTTGAAGGGCAGAGGAACTTTCTCCCCAACAGTAGGAGCTTGGTTTATTTATTTATTATTATTTTTTAAAGATTTTATTTATTTATTTGACAGAGACAGAGCGAGAGAGGGAACACAAGCAGGGGGAGTGGGAGAGGGAGAAGCAGGCTCCCCGTGGAGCAGAGAGCCCGATGCGGGGCTCGATCCCAGGACCCTGGGATCATGACCTGAGCCGAAGGCAGACGCTTAACGACTGAGCCACCCAGGCGCGCCAGTAGGAGCTTGGTTTAATAAAAATAAAGTATAACTATATAATGGAGTACTGTGTAGCCATTAGAAATAAGGAATTCTATTCTATCAAAGTGGAATGATTCTAATAGATGGGAAGTGGCTTGTGATTGAGCCAGAGGGACCCCCCACACACACACACACAGATGTATACATGTATATACATTTGTACACTCTACTTAGTGATAGGGTATGAGGATACTTGGAAACAGGGCACCTGGATGGCTCCATTGGTTTGGCGTCTGCCTTCGGCTCAGGTCATGATCCCGGGGTCCTGGGATCCAGCCCCGCATCGGGCTCCCTGCTCCGTGGGGAGCCTGTTCTCCCCTCCCTCTGCTCCCTCCTTGTGCTCTCTCTCCCTCTCTGTCTCTCTCAAATAAATAAATGGAATCTTTAAAAAAAAAAAGAATACTTGGAAATATTACTGCACCCTTAGGATAAGCCATGGGATGTTCTAAGCACTTTATATACATCATCTCATTTAATCCTGGCAACAACCCCGAGATAGGGGCTGTTATTACCCACAGTTTTCAGGACAGGAGACAAGCACAGAGGAGTATAGTGGCAGACGGATGAAATACTTCAAACAATATCATTCTTACTAATATGAGGCATTCATTGTGATGATTAGTTTTTAATCGTGTTTTTATTACTTAAATTGTGAGACCTTTACATTTTTGGTGTAAGATTCACTATCCAGTGGGTGCCACAGATGCTGGAATTTGGGGAAAGCTGAGCTAGGCCCTCAATTCTTGGAAGCCCCATCTAGCGTTACTGGGGTCACACAACAGAAGGTCAGATGGAGCTCAGCCACTTACAGAGGATTTGAATTCTAACCAAGGAAACTCATTTTAATGAAATATTAAAAGCATTCTTTATAGCAAGCACTCAAATCAAAGCAAATTGGTTTTAATGTGGAAACTGTAACTAATTAAACACCACTTTCTTCTCAGAAAACACATCTTCTTGCCCATGAACAAAGATCAAATACACACATTTCTAAACAGTTACAGTTTAAAAGTTTTAACATGCAAAGAGCACAAGGCTTTTGGTTTTGTGTTTCACTTTTCAAATCATTTCCCCTAATTCACTGCAGGGATAATTTCTCTCACCCCACAGCCAAAAAAAAAACCAAAAAAAACAAAAAAAAAAAACCACCCAAAAAACAAAACAAAACAAAAAACCAAAAACACAAAAGACAGCCAGTGTAACTACAGCATCCTCAGACTGATTAACCTGTTCTCTTCCATGCTCATCTGACCTTCAAGAGCTGAGTATCTCTGGCAACTTTTACATTGACTTATTGTAGTTAGATACAGTTCTCTTGAGCACGACTAACACTACCCTAGAGCAACGGAAGACGTCCTTTAACTCGCACTCTTCTATGCAATCCTCGGGAAGGAGCTCCTCTAGTCCATGCTAAATGTTTTCTACCTTGACTCTATCATTTCCCCCTTTCCAGGGCCTGTCCTGATACCACCAAACGCCTTGACGTTACAGACGCAAATGCAGATTCCAGACCCGGGACTTCCTACGCCTGGGCCTTCTGTTGTGACCCCTGACTCCCTTCCTTGGACACGGTTCCGTGACTGCCTTCAGACTCAGACTGGTTCTGGTCACCTGAATGACTACCGGCATTGACACCTTTCTCCAGCAACTCAAAGAGATTCTCTAGAATCCTTGTCCCCAGGGCAGGGGTGGAGGTGGTGGGAGACTTGTAAACATTGTCTTTCAAGACAGGACTTAACCAGAAGTCCCCCTTTGGGTGTTTTTACTGCAAATCTGAGAGCTTCACTTCAAATCCTTCCTGAAAACGGCTTGAGAACCTGGAGGTCAGGTTCATAAGCCAAATTTTGTTGAACCAAAGAATCTGAATGATGCTGGGCAAGGCAACCAAAGTCTTCAAAGGTGGAAGCTCCAGGACAAGCAAGGCTATCCAATATTCCGGGGCTTTACTGGATGCTAATGTCTTTCCATCACCTGTATTTCTACCCCAGATACTGCTGTGGCCTGGAGTAGGGAATCCTGGTGATTTTCGGTAGTTCCCCAAAGGTGGGGATGTTAAGTAGATAGAAAAGAAATGTAGGGAGCAAGAGCCTTGTACTCCTTAAATTCCTGGCATGTACAAACACCATTCTTCCATTCATAGGATTCTAAAAATGCTCCCTCCTGGCATAACTTAATTACTTGACATACAACCAAGAACTATGCATACAAACATTCCTAGCTATCCTAGTTAGGGGTGAGGTGTTGGGGCCTCTGTTCATAGTTCAAGTTCTCCTGCTGATGACCCTTCTTTTGCTAGCTCTGCCATTATCCCAACTTGATATTGATATTCTGCAATACCATGACCTAAATGGTGAATTCATCACACCACACTACCCTCTTTACAGTACTAAAGAGGTGAGAGAATTGAAAAAGCCAACAAATAATCAGCAGGGAAACACAGGTAGAGGGTACAGTCCTGATTTCTGCAAAAGCAGTGAGGTGGTTCTGTCGTTTACGATTTCTCTAACAACCCCACGTTCTTTTTGCCTTCCTTACCGGGGACGTTCAGGTCTTTATTCCTGAAGAGTCTGAGCCCTTGATGGTCCTTTGTAGGGTTGCAATACTCTGTCGTGTGCCCCCCGAGCTTGTAGTGAAGAAGGCACCTTAGGGGATCTCCTGCGTCTCGTCCATTTTCCTGCTTGTCCTCATTCCATAGCATGAACACCGTGATCGCCTGTCTTGAGTGACTCCAGGAGCTAAGAGTGGCTTCAAATTCGGTGGAACCATGGTTTTAGACCATACTGGATGTGTTTATTGTAGGGAACTAAAACCTCTAACCAGCAGATTAGCAGGAACGAGAAGTAAAACTGTTACAGATGGGTCAGGTGCAATGATGAGAAGCGCTTCCTTTATTCCCACCCCTTGTTCCCAGACTTGCAAATCTTGGCAGTGGGAGAAACAGCACTATATATTGGTTGCTGTTCATATTACTCATTACATCTTAGCAGTCTCTGCCATGATTCTCCTATCAGGGCTCACCACAGGCTCCATATAGCATCCTGATTTACCCCAAACATTTGAGGCACCGTTGCATCTGCCAGATGATAAAGGCCAAGGTGCAAACTTCCTAGCATGGGAGCCGACCCCAGCTGGGGAGCCTGTTTTAGCTGTGGGTCCACATTAGCCTGCGTGCGGTAGGGCTAACATCTCCATTTTTCAAGTCTTGGATGGTGGCAAAAAATCTCCGCAGTTCCCATAAGGATTTGTTATCACGTTTTACTTCCTCTGTTGATAAGGGGAGGGAGCCCTAATTGA